TTTAAAAATGGAAATTCTCCCTGTATCATTTAATTTGATACTTTGATTGTTTGGGCAGTGTAATTCAAATTCCATCTTGTATCAGGTAATCTAAGGGTGCATCAACACTGCAGAATTAAGGCGCTTTGACGTGACTTCTAATTGCCAAAGCTCAATGCTATGGAATCGCAGGAGTTGTAGTTTGGTGGGAACATAAAAGAATTTGGCAATGGAGGCTAAATATTAGCCAATGTGATGTCAAACTGTATTAATTCTGCAATATAGATACATCCTAAATGTATCTATTTTAGGCAGAGATACTCCTTTTTTAAAACAATTAGTATCATTGGAGTAATTCTGCCTCAAAGACTGATGCACAAAGGTAGAGAGAAAGTTGAAATATTCTCTCTTAATATTCTCAGTTAATATTAATTTAATGTCTTTAATTTTTAAATTAGTTCCAAATCTTATTTTTAAAGATCAAAATAAAATAGCATAGACCAATATTGTATATTGTCAGTTTCAGAGCCACATAATATTTGTTCTAAATGGCTGAAATCCTAAACTATGACCCTTCCCCATCAGTGACTATATTCCTGTATCTGACACAACTTGCTTCATTAAGTACTTCATCTACAGTACCTTGGTATAGTGCTACCTCCTATATGGAACACACCTTTGATATACTACCACTGTTCTTTGTCAACATCTGTTTAAAATATATTGATTTAAACAAGATTTCCCTGTTAGTATAACCTGCCATCTATTTCTTGGCTCTTATTAAGAGTATCTATTATGTTCAGGGAATTGCATTTTATGTCTTATTGATGAACACCACTTTGATATTTTTGAGCTAAGCAGTAGGTAAATATTTTAAAATATATGTATACTACATTGTTCCTTCCTGACTGGGCTTGCTGACCCATTCTTTTCATGGCATTCATAATCTTTAGGTGATGCTAGAGCTGGGAAACAACTCTGCACACATGAAGCTGCCGAAATCCTATTAAGTTCAGCTAGCTCTAAGCAGCCTAACTCTCAGCAGGACTGCAGATCCTTTTCCTACATATTTCACAGGGAGTTAGCTGTGTTAGTTTAGAAAGCCTGGGAAAAGGAATCTAGGGGCGCTTCCAGACAGCATCAAAACTTGGGATTAATATGCGGGATAAAATAACTCGGGACCTCAAAGCAGGTCCCCATGCAGACTTGTCGGTCCCGGGCTTTCTTCCCACATCTTCCTCACAGCCCTTCTGTGCCTCAGGATAAAATGGAGGGGGGACAGGGGACATCCGCTGGAAGCTATAAAAAAACTTATATGCACATATGTGAATATCCTAATACAAATATGGAGAGATTCCTATGTGTGCATATATACATCAGGGCATAATTAAATGATTTAAAGAAACTTCCAGTGGATGTCCCTCTTTCCCCAATTGCTTATTTAATATTACAAAGTTTAAAATAAACACTTTGTAATAATAGTTCTCTGCTTCTCCTCTCCTGTAACCTGCTGGAAATCAGTTGTGTGTCCATGGGAGCCCAAGCAGCTGATCAGCTGTTTTGGGCTTTTAAAAACTGTCATGGGCAGGAAGCAGTCTCCACAGGGGGTAAAGAGGGAAATCCCAAACTTTACACAACTGCAGGGCCACACAGTCTTGGGGAAAAAATCTGCTTTTTGCCAGGACTTTTTTGAATTGTGTTTTCCCTTCCTTGCTGCGATTGAGCACGCATTTATCCCAGACATCATTTGGCCATCCCCCTTTTTAACCTGTTCTTTCCATAATTATAGGTACTGTATGGAAGTGCCCTAGAAGCACTTTTGAGACTAAGGTTGGTTTTACACTGTAGAATTAATGCAGTTTGATACCACATTAGCATCCCTGCCTCAACTCTATGGAATCATGGGATTGGTAGCTTGGTGAGGCACCAGCACTCTTTGACAGAGAAGATCTTGTAAAACTACAACACTCAGTAGTGCATAGCATTGAGCCATGGCTGCTAACGTGATGTCAAATTACATTAATTCTACAGTGCAAATGCACCCCAACTGATGTATGTCAGCATGAGCTTTTGTGAACTCCACTTCATAAGAGGCATGCATGGTATGTGAAATGTATCTAGAATGGCAAAAAAATGCAGGGAGATTAATGGGATGACAACTACAGTCTCAAAACTGGTCATGAAGAGTAGTTAAAAGCACAAAAGTGGGTGATGGGTTTTACATATGAGCATAGATAAGCAGGTAAACACATGTACAGTAGAGAAAAGTCTTTGTTTAGAAAAGGGGTTTCTAACCTCTGGTCTGCCAGGTGTTTTGAACTTCAACCCTCAGAAATCCCAGCCATCTTACCTGCTGTTAGGAATTGTGAGAGCTGAAGTCCAAAACACCTGGAGGACCAGAGGTTGGGAACCACTGGTCTAGAACATTGATCATGGCTAGAGAAGCAATTAAGGAGCTGTAATAAAACAGACCAGACCTTTCCTGGAAGTTAATTGGGTGAACCCAAACAACCATCAGTTCTCTTGAAACAGGAAAAAGTTAGGTGAAGATACTTATGCTAAAGATACTGGAAAGGGTGAGTAGACCCAGTTTCACATTCCTTCATCAGTCATGGCTAGGCTAACCATTAGGTAGAGTAAGCCTTTTGCAGGAAGCAGGAAGGTGTGGGTTTGCCATTAAAGGGACAAATGTTGCCTCCTAGTTTCACTCCAACAACTCTGTTTCTGTTTTCTCAGTGGCAAAGGGTAGTTTCCATGTCAGCCAGGTGTATGTTCTGGGTTTTAGTCTTAATTTTTAAGGAGCTATCCAGGGTGCTATAACTACAGTGATGCCAGGGCTTGGATTATAGCTCTTGTAATTCTGTAGCACTGGTCATGCTGTCTGAAGTCTAGAGATTTTCCACCAAAGGCTTCATAAAAAAGGCGAATTTTGAAAAGCAATTCATATGATGTAATGTGTTGTTCTGGGAGGCTATTTCTAGAACAAGTTATGTTCTAAAAAGGGAAGGTTTTTGTGTTTGGTTTGCTGTCTAATTGGAGGGCCAGCCTCCTCAAAAGTGGGAGTCCTCATTTCCTCAGGGCCACTTTCTCGTCAACTGGGTTCACTTGCAGTATCATCTTATGTGTGTATGTGCTTCCAAGTTGCCTGTTGACTTATGTCAAGTTCATAACATTTCCAAGAAATGCACAGAGCTGATTTGGCCAGTTCCAAATCATCTGAAATATAGCCTAAAATACCTGGCATTTGCTGGCCATCTCCCATCCAAGTAATAACCAGCACTGGCCTTGCTTAGCTTCCTAGGTCAGACAAAATTTAGTGTCTTTAGGGAGGCAGAAGGGAGGCAGAAGAAAAAGACATATGGGTGGTACAACAAGGGCAAAGTGACTTGACTGCCACTTACTTAAGAGTATTATTACTGTTGTAATAATTTAGCTGTTAATTCAGCATATTATATTAATTTATATCTTGCCTTTCTCTTAAAGTTGGGCAGGAACATCCCCACACAGCATTTTTAAAATATCAATTACACTTTAGTATAACATTTGATTAAAATGCTTTTTAAAAATATTTTATTGATTTTTTTCATAAATGAATAAAATAAATAGTCAAATAAGAGAAAAAGTGATATAGAATAGGATGGTGTGGGGAAAGAGGGAGAAAAATAAAATAAAATAAAAGAAAATAAGAAGGAAGAGGGAAAGGATAAAAGGGGGAAATTTCAGGTTCCATTCTTCATCTTTGCATTGTGTAGATTAAAATATTTTAGTATTATTATTGTTATTTCCTTAGTGAAGCATTTTATTATTTATGTATTTATTTATTCATTCATTTATTACATTGTTATTGTCATGGATTCATATCTGGTGTGTTCAAAACACCAGAACACCTCTATGCTATGAGTTCACAGTCAAGGTTGAGGAATGAAAACAAAATGAGAACATCTGTGGCCCAGCGTGGGAAGGAGCCTGATAAAACACAAACTGGCTCAGACTGGAAGACCTGGAGGCTGGACCAAGGAACTTTCGGAAATTGAGGGAATGGAGCTTTTGGGGTATTGAACTAAGAAGTTGCTCATGATTTCTTCATTTCTAACTTTGCTGTATAGTAGCAACCTAGATTTAAAGAAATGTTCAGTATTTCCTTGTGAGTAAATTTAATTGCTATCAAGGTTCTGCTACCATCACAGAACAGTACACATGTCTTTTCTTTCAAAGCACCCAAGGCAGTGGACATATCTCTCTTCATTTTCACTTTTATCCTCATAACAATCCTGTGATGTAGTCATATTAAGGACCTTATCACATTGAGGCCAGGATTCACCATACATCATGGCGAATCCAGTGGAGCCTGGTGTGGGGCTTGGAGAATCTGTTGGCCTGCAACATGTACTGCCTGCCTTGACACTCAACTCATCCCACAGGGGAAAACATCACCATCTCCCCCCCCCCCCCCCCCCCCCCCCCCCCCCCCCCGCTGTTTCCTATGCAACACAGGAAGCCTCCCATGTTGCCACTGCTGCCTCCTGCAACACTTCAACTTCACTTGAGGTATGGAACCTCACTGGAAGTAGATTGATGGGCTTCATGCCCCAAGTGAAGTCAAAGTGTCAAAGGAGGGCAATTTTGACCATCTGATAAGACCATAAAAGACCATGACTGACCCAATATTGCTAAGAGTCATGTCTGGCTCAAAATTTGAACCAGATCTTAGTGCACTATTATAATATACTTCTAAACCAGACACATCACATCACCCAGACTGGTTCATGTCTAGTTTTGCTCTTATGCTATGAAAAAAGAGGGGAAAAAGAAACTGAATGCAAACACACACACCACCAAATCTAACAAAATGAACAGAGAAAAACATTTGTGTTCTGCTTGTAGATTTTTATGATCCCACTTGGCGCAGTCCACCCTTTCCATAGCAAGGATATGCCTTTAAATAAATACAGATCCCACAGGCTATCCCTTGAGCAGTGCATCTTGTTCAGTCATCCGTCTTGTGGGAAATCTTTAGAGCATGATTTACTCAAAAGCTGTGCTGCTACTGCAGTGCCTACTGTGTGCCAAGGACGGTGCTAGCAGAGCAGATGCATCTGTTGTGCTTATTTACCGGTCTTGCTGTCTGTCAGGGGACTGTGTCAGGTTTCCTTCTTCCCAGAGCTGTCCCCTCTGTTTGGTGTCAGCTTATGGCTTGAGACTGAAAGGGTCCTTTCCCACCTCTCCATCAGACAGGGGCTCTGAAGGCAGCTGAAAGCAGCAGAACACCCAGAACGACAGCCAAGGCAATTGTTTGCATAGAAGAACTCAGCCTCTCTGATTGCCCTGCCATAGCACCCTTTTGCTCTGGATACTATTTTGGAAGCTTTCCAGACACCTGACCTGGGTGTCACAGCTCATCATCTCTGTTCTCTGCAATAACAGAAAGAAAGAGGACGGATCCACATTGCAGAAGGGAACTATTAAAACTGGAGTGGAGGGAAGGAAACCTGCCAGACACGCACACCTCCTTCCTCTAGTCAGAGTGCCACAGGCAAGAATTTTGCTTCCTGACATCAACAACAGAAGCTCCGACAAGGTTGTCAGCCTGAAACCGTGTCCAACAGGTAAGATAGTATCACTGAATATAACTTCTTCTGAATGCTTCAGACTGAAAAGAGATGGAATGTGAAAAAGAGCTGGGTGAGAGGAAAGTTATTTATGGCAGAATGTGTATGGGCTTTGGAAAGGCTAATGTTGTTTCTGAAGGAGAGAGAATTTGATAGTAATACTATTTTGACGGTTGATGATGTCAAAGTTAATATGAACTTCCTTTTAAGTCAAAATTTATCTCTGGTTCTTATTCACACACAAACACTGCACATGTTGCAGGGCATACATTCAAGGAATGAGAGCCATGTAATCCGGAAAGAAGGATCTCTGCCTTTCCCTATATATTGGACTACAAACTCCATCTACCATCATGTTGTTGGGAATTGTGGGGTTGTAGTTCAACACATCCCGAGAGCATACAAGTGGAGAAAACAATGGCTGAGTAGGAGTAAGTGAGTGATGAAGTTAAAAGACTGTTTACATCTATGGGCTTTGTTTAGATATTAACTGTCTGGTTTCTATATTAACATATAGAGCAAAGTGACTCCTAGGATTACTATGTGAGTTTTGCATGTTTACGAAAGTGTAACTATAGCCTGCTTTTAAAGATCTACCAATCATTTAGTGTCATTTGGCTTCTTCTGGGGATGCAGGGAAGCATCTGACCAGAACAGAAGATGGCATCCAATGTTATCTTTGCCTGTCTAGTCCTTTGCCTGTCTACAGGTATAGTTCTTCTACTCCTTTCTTCCCATTCTACTTCTGACCAGCCTTCATTTAAATGGTGTTGCTTGGAAGGATCTCCTTTATGCTCTTCATGCATATGTTGCTATTACTAAAGAATCCTAGAATCCCAGAGTTGGCAGGAAACCAAGTGCCATTTAGTCCACTCCCTAACATGCAGGAATATACATTTCTGAGAGATGGCCATCCAAACTTTCTTTAAAGACCTTCAGTGAAATAGAGTCCAGCACTCTTTGAGGCCACTGACAAATAGCTTTTGCCATGAGAAAATTCTTGCTAATGTTTAGGTGGAGTATTTTTCATATAATTTGAATCCATTCATTTGTGTCTTAGTCTCTGGAGCAGCAGAAAAATATCTTGTTCCACCACTATATGATATCCTCTTATATATTTTGGCTATCATATCAACTAACACTCTTCTCTTCCCTGAGCTTAAATGCATCCAGCCCTCTAAGCCATTTCTAATATGTTCTCATGGGACTTAGTTTCCAGACATTTTACTGTGGTTACCTTTTTCTGGTCAATTTCCAGCTTGTCAATATGCTTTCAGAGCTGTGGTGCTCAGAACTGTGCAGAACATTGATATGAGATTTGATCAAATAGGAAAAGAGTGGGGCTATTATTTCGCTTCTTACAGACACTGTACTCTGTTGTTGGTTGGTTTGCCAAGGGTTTTGTGAGAGTCAGATCCCCCACTTTAGTATTTAGATTCTCTTTGTATTTGATAATGTCTTGGCCTACAGCTACTCAGATGATGTACTCATCTACCCAATTGAATATGCACCAAAAGTTCAGATTTAACCTGAAAAATAGGATAGATTTAGTTCTAAAGTCTGCTATTCATTTGCAAGTCGAAATACAATTTAGTCTCTTGTACTGGCATCCTTTCCCTATTGAATCTGGCCACATTAAAGATAACTATCTATAGCAAGAGTTCTTCTGCCTGGATGTTTCTTTCTTTGTTTCCTTAAATTCCCACATTGTAATGCAATGTGTCTCTGTAAATTGCCTACATGTACACACTTATGGAAGATAGTCCAAGGTAAACTGTCATCTCATAGTTAGTTCCTTAGCTTTCTATATATGCTGCAACTATTGATCACATTCATAATTCTACTTCTTTGTGTAGTGGGGGATTTCAAGAATGCAGGGTTCACCCAGGCTACCTCACAAAGAGCATATACATCTGTTGTAATATTTGCATTTTATCATAGTTTTATCTATGAACCTACTGGAACACATGGGTGGGGACAACATTTGAACACATCCGTGGACAAACTCTAGCTGCCTCTGGCTTTTTGTCTTGAACTTCAACTGCAGGATATCCCTTGTTTCTCCTCTAGATTGTTTTACCTAAACATCTAGATATATATTTTTGTGTGTGTCAGGAGCGACTTAAGAAACTGCAAGTTGCTTCTGATGTGAGAGAATTGGCCGTCTGCAAAGACGTTGCCCAGGGGACGCCCGGATGTTTTGATGTTTTACCATCCTTTTGGGAGGCTTCTCTCATGTCCCCGCATGGGGGGGGGGCAGGAGCTGATAGAGTGAGCTCATCCATGCTTTCCCTGGATTCGAACCTGCAACCTGTCGGTCTTCAGTCCCACCAGCACAAGGGTTTAACCCATTGCACCACCGGGGGCTCCATAACATCTAGATGACAACCAAGAATGGAAGCAGGGCAGAAAGTACTTTTTTGGTGGAAGATGAAATATAATTTAGTTACGTGAAATGCATTTAAACAAATGTACAAAGTCTGCCAAAATGGCTCTCATTTTCTAAAGGTGCAACCAGCTACAGTAAACAACCTGTTCTCTGTTTTAAAATACAGTTTCCATTTGCTCTGTTGCCAGCTAACCAATAGTTACGGAATGTGAGCATTCTAATCCAAAACATCTAGGAGCATCATGTTGCTTTTCCTCATTTTCCCTGACAAAGAAAATACTTGTCAACTTTGCCAAGTCCATTAAGGCAGTCCTAAACAGTATTTCTCTATCCTGTGTGACTTTTCCATCAGCTCTCCACATTTACAATTATATACTCTTGGGGCTATAGCAGAGCCGATAATCTGTACATTTTAGCCTTAATGGCTTTATTTTATTATTATTACTTAAATTGTATGCCACCTTTCTTACCTCGAAGGGGACTCATTAAAACAAGAAATTGAAAATACATTAAAACAAGAAATTGAAAATACATATAACATTAAACATTAGAACAATTATTTAAAAAACACACAGTCCAAACTTGTAATCCGAGGCTGTTCCAGTCATCCAGTTTTCTCTTTGTTTAGAAAAACATCCACCAAAATTCTCATGCAAACCCAGAAAGCTAAGAACTCATTGTGGCAATTCTTACTTTTAAAAACAACTACTTGAAATAGAATTCAATTTCACTGCCTTATGGAGAATACCAGCTCACATTTGATTATACTAAAGTTTGCATCATCAGACAGCCCAAGTGTTCATAGTATTAGCTGTATCTTCTGCTAGCTTCTTGCCCACTCAGTAGAATTAGGAAAAAGCTTTTGAGACAAGAAGTCATATCTTGTATAATGGCATCTGAGGCAGTTATTTCCAGACCGGTTTGTCCGTTCATATATTTTCTTCTTCATGCAAAATAACTGGCAGAAAGATCTGGCCTTAATTGCTAGGAAACCCAATAGCCACATTTGTAGAAAAATGAAGGGGATAGTCTTCTCATCATTAACAGGCCTCACCTGTAAAGGAAAACAGGGAACCCATTAGCAACCACACGGTTGTGAAGGTACTAGAGAAGAAAACTGTGCCTGAATTTGGCCAGACAGAAGTACAGATAAGACCAGTCCTGCCATTTGGAAGAGTGAAGCAGCTACCTCAGGTATCAGATTTGGGTGTAACAAAATAGCAAACAATTATCAAATCTGAGGCTTTTCTAGCTAGAAATACAGTGAGATGTTTGGATGGATTTTCTGTTTCCTTAATGTATTCTCTGTGACCACTTGTTTTGGGTACAATACATCCTCACTTAGGTTGGGTGGAGACAACAAACCATCCTCGCCTCAAGCAGGAAAATGTGTAGGATGGCTCTGACAGATAAGAATCACAGGAAAATGTTTAATCGAGGATATATTGGAGGAAACATTTGCATGAGTAGCTGGTTTTAAGCATATCTTTTTGTCTGTTAATGCCATGATAAACTCAATGGACAGAGTAGGTTTGGTGAATAGAGGGATTTCGTTAGTTAATTAATTATTGAAAGTATCTCCATTCTGCTCTATATGAAAGGATCTCAGTGTGGTATTTCATTGGCCATATCAAATAATAGTAACAACACATGCTGTGACATGTACCCCACTACAAGTCCAGTTATTCCTGTTATGGGCAATTTATTATGCCTCATAAAAATGCACAATTTATGAAACTTTAAGTAGATGCTTTTATCAATCTCAAAAATTCACCCCAGCAGTAGCATGAGTTCAGCAAATACTGACCTCATGCTACTGTTGGGGTGAATTTTCTAGGCAAGCTGGGATAAATAGATTTTGCTTTCAAAGCACTCTTTTTAAAGGATTATGTCACTTGTCACTAACAGTTCTTGTCATCATGAAAGAGGATGTATTTATCCCCCAACATTTAGCTACATTTGCATCTTTGTTTTGAAATCCAGGGGTAAGACTGCCTGCTGAAGTAAAGCACATGTTTTGGCATCTCAACTCAGCTAAACCTGCCCTGTTTCCATCTCTGCTGAAATCACAGTGCTCACGCATTCTGACTAATGCCCCCAAAGGAAATGCTTCGTGCTTCCAGTAAAGAGTCTCATATGCTAAAACTTTGACACAGTCATTTGTGGGAAAGGGATGATATTTGGGAGCTGCCAAATAGTTCAGGTAAAGGAGAGGACAACGGGGACAGCAAAGTGTTATTGCTGAAGGCTAAGCTGGAAGGCAAGCATGTGTAACAAAGTGCATATGGGAGGGGCGGTTTCTCAACTCATTCCTGTTTAATTTAGTTTTCCGCCTTATAATGACACTGCTGCAACACACTTGTTCTTCCACCTGCTGAGAGAAAGATATATATTCTCCCTCTCATTGGTGGGGTGGGAATTACAATCCAGAGATCCATGTGGAGTAGAAAGCTTGCTGCATGTTCTGCTTGCACGTGTCAACAGAACATTTAAGTATTTGTGGAAGTGAGAAGTTGGCTAAGTATTAGCACAAAAGAAACATACAGGCCACCACTCAACCATTCTAGAGCACCTCCCTTTTCATACTAGCATATGAGCACTAGAATAC